CCAAGTAACCCTAAACTCGGACCAAGTTAATCCTCGCCTCTTTCAAGCCTTTCCAACTTAGGGTTACGCTTTAGTTGATTTTTTGGATTATTTGGATAGTTAGATTAGATTAGTTAGTCACGAACCTCTATATAACCAGACCTCCAAATGAGTTCTAACCTAGAACCAATTAAGACTTTTTCAATTGGTGGTGACTGTGAGATTGAACTAAAGAATGCATCCACTACCCCTCCTCCCCCTCCTCCCTGATTAAAAATAAGATAAAGTAATAAAGATGGCCCAAAGAAATAAAAACAAATCAACCTCTGAGAAAATTCAAAGCTTCCAAAATGAACTAACAGAAAGAAGCCAGAACTATCTACTTAACCTTGAGGAGCAATCAACATCCAGTACTTATTCGACCCTAAACAATCAAGAAAGCATTCAAGATCTTTTGAAAGAAATTGCTAAGGCTTTCCAAGATACAGCAATCAAAGTAGTCTAGGAAGATGGTGAAGAAAATCAGCATAGGGGTCAAGAAACTAATTAGGTCCAAGTAAAGATCTTTCAAAGAACTGAAGAAGAAGATCCAGTAAAATAGATAGAAAGTTTTGAAAGAGCTGCAAATGCCAAAAACTGGCCTAAGAAAAGAAGGGTCACCATTGCCTCAGAATACCTCACTGGGATAGCTGCAAATTGGTATAACAACTACAAAAATACTCTTAACAATTGGGAAAACAATACCCAACCTGAAGTTAGCTTCATTACTGAATTCATGAAATATTTTGCTACCCCTGAGAAATATCACAAATGGCAGTTAGACTTAAACACATTAACTTAACAGGAAAATAAGAAGGTTGACCTGTATGCATATAAATTTAAAAGATTATTAAAAAAGGTTCTTGAGAGGTTTGGTGAACAAGAAGTTATTCTTAAAAAATTTAATCAGTATAATAAAATGAGCAAAAGATGGTTAGAAGAAGTACGTTTAAATTTATTTGTTTATTTATATATTGTTTTGACTAATTATTAAAATGTGCATATATTTATCACTAAATATTTGGCTTTAAATACTTATTTACAATTAATTAATTATCTAATACCCTTCAAATCATTTCAGTTAGTGAGTATAAAGATAACTTATTAACGTTAATCATTTTCATTAAAATTATGAACATAAATACTTATTCATATCTATTTATCTCTAAATACTTATTTACAATTCATTACCTAATACTCTTCAAATAGTGTGCGAGTATTAAGATAGTTAATCAGTATAATTAAAATCATGAACATAAACACTTATCTCTAAATACTTATCACCAAATACTTATTACTAAATACTTATTTACAATTAGTTACCTAATACTCTTCAAATCGTGAGTGAGTATAAAATGATTTAATCGGTTTCATTAAAATTATGAACGTAAATACTTATTCATAAATACTCATCTCTAAATATTTCTTTATGATTAATTACCCAATAACCTTTAAATAGTCTGTGAGTATTAGGTAATTAACTTATTTCAAATAAGTATTTAGTGATAAATATATATGTTCATGTTTTTACTGATTAATGTTAATAAAACATCTTTATGCTCAAGGACTAATTAATTTGAATGAAATAATTTGAAGGGTATTAAGTAATTAATTAATTGTAAATAAGTATTTAGAGTTAAGTATTTATGAATAAGTATTTATGTTTATAATTTTAATGAAACTGATTAATATTAATAAATCATCTTTATACTCACCCACAATTTGAAAGTATTAAGTAATTAATTGTAAATAAGTATTTAGAGATAAGTATTTATAAATAAGTATTTATGTTCATAATTTTAATTCTACTAATTAATATTAATAAATCATTTTTATACTTACTAACTAAATTAATTCAAATGAAATGATTTAAGGATATTAGATAATTAATTAAGAAAACTACTATTTTCACTATATTAATTTGCTATTTCCACTATATAACCAGAATTAGAATTAGAGTTAGAGTAAATCATATTTTGTAATATTAGTTATTATTATTATTTTATATAATTATTATAGTAGAAATAGCAAATTAACATAGTAGAAATAGTAGATTCCTTAATTAATTATAAATAAGTATTGAATAGATCAATTTTTAACTACTTTGATGATTCCTAAAACCAAAATAA